ATACAGGAAGATAAAACATTGAATCAAAGCAAGTAGGAAAAAATAAAAAACAAATAAAATAAAATAAAAAATGCAGAAACAAAAAAAGAATATTAAAAACAGTTGGATTAAAGAAAACATGTTTTTGTTGAATTGTTTAACTGGAACAGTCAAAGGCAATCCTAAACAAATGTGTTTTTAGTCTTGATTTAAAGGAACTCAGGCTTTCCGCACTTTTACAGTTTTCTGGAAGTTTGTTCCAGATAAGTGGAGCATAGGAACTAAATGCTGCTTCTCCATGTTTAGTTCTGGTTCTAGGTATGCAGAGCAGGCTGGAGCCAGAAGACCTGAGTGGTCTGGAGGGTTGATACACTGATAGCAAGTCTGTGATGTATTTAGGTGCTAAGCCATTCAGAGATTTATAGACTAACAGAAGTATTTTAAAGTCTATTCTCTGAGATACAGGGAGCCAGTGTAAGGACTTTAGAACTGGGGTGATGTGCTCTACTTTCTTAGTCTTAGTGAGGACACGGGCAGCAGCGTTCTGGATCAGCTGCAGCTGTCTGATCCACTTTTTAGGCAGACCTGTGAAAACACCGTTGCAGTAATCAATTCGACTAAAAATAAACGCATGGATTAGTTTTTCCAGATCATGCTGAGACATTAGTCCTTTAATCCTGGAAATGTTCTTCAGGTGATAGAAAGCCGACCTTGTAATTGTCTTTAAATGCTTTTGGAGGTTCAAGTCTGAATCCAACACTACACCTAGACTTCGGGCCTGATCAGTGGTTACTAGCTGAAGCGACTGAAGCTGTGTGCTAACTTTAGATCTCTCCTCTATTGGTCCAAAGATTATTACTTCAGTTTTGTTTTTATTCAGTTGAAGAAAATTATGGCACATCCAGGCATTGATTTCTTCTAAGCATTTCCTCAGTGCTTGAATTGGTTCATAGTCACCTGGTGACATGGTGATGTAAAGCTGTGTGTCGTCTGCATAGTTATGGTAGCTGATGTTGTTGTTTTTTATTAACTGAGCAAGAGGGAGCATGTAGATATTGAATAGGAGGGGACCCAGAATGGACCCTTGGGGAACCCCACATGTGATTTTTGTCATCTCTGATGTAAAGTTGCCTACTGACACAAAAAAGTCCCTGTCCTTTAAGTAGGATTTAAACCAGTTGAGAGCTGTACCAGAGAGGCCGACCCAGTTTTCCAGGCGCTCTAACAGGATGGAGTGATCGACAGTATCGAATGCTGCACTGAGGTCCAATGGTACCAGCACTGTGGTTCTTCCGCAGTCTGTATTTATACGGATGTCATTAAACACCTTGATAAGGGCGGTCTCTGTACTGTGGTGAGCACGGAAACCTGACTGGAACACGTCAAAGCGGCTGGTCATATCTAAGAAAGTGTTTAACTGTTGAAACACTGCTTTTTCAATAATCTTACTGATAAAGGGGAGGTTTGATATGGGCCTGTAGTTCTGGAGTAGTAGTTTGTCTAAACTGTTCTTTTTCAGCAGTGGTTTGATATTTGCTGTTTTTAGGGACTGCGGGAAAACACCTGACAGAAGGGACGTGTTTATTATCTGTGTCAAATCAGATGCTATGACAGGCAAAACTTTCTTAAAGAAAGCTGTGGGTAGAACATCAAGGCAGCAGGAGGAGGAACTTAGCTGCTGAATGATTTCCTCTAAGCTTTTATAGTTTATTTGGCTGAATTGGGACATTTGGCCAAGATCAATTCCAGTTGGAGACAACTTTGGTACTGAACTTGATATGGATGTATAAACTGATCCTCTGATCTTTAGGATTTTCTCAGTAAAGAAATTAGCAAATTCATTGCAGGCCCGGGTGGAGTGGAGTTCAGGAGCCACGGACACAGGAGGATTTGTTAGCTTGTCGACTGTGGCAAATAAAGCACAAGTATTATTAATGTTCTTGTTAATGATTTCAGAGAAGAAAGATTCTCTTGCATTTTTCAGTTGTAAGCTATATCTGTAAAGTCTCTCTTTATAGATGTCATAGTGAACCTGGAGTTTCGTCTTTCTCCACCTGCGTTCAGCTTTTCGACACTCCCTTTTTTCACTTCTAACTGCTGGAGCACTTCTCCAAGGAGATTTTTTCTTACCGGAAAAGACTTTCACTTTAATTGGAGCAATGCAGCTAATGATGTCTGAGACTTTAGACTGAAAGTTATCTACTAGCTCTTCTACTGAGTTGCACCCCAAGGTTGAAGTAGCAGAGTAAGCTTGAATAAAAGTTTCTGTGGCATTTTCCTTAAAGGTGCGTTTTCTTATGATGTCTCTTTGGCTAAATGAGTCACTGGAAATGATGCCCTCAAAGGTAACAGAAAAGTGATCGGATAGGGCAACATCAGTAACGCTGACTTTAGAAATCTTCAGACCTTTAGTGATGATCAAGTCTAAAATATGTCCCTGTTTGTGTGTTGGTTGTTTAACATGTTGAGTTAAACCAAAGTTTCTAAGTGTGTCACACAGTTCTTTTGCACTTCTGTCTTCAGGGTTGTCAACGTGAAAATTAAAGTCTCCCACAATAATTAAACAGTCATAATCAACGCATATCACAGACAGGAGGTCACTAAAATCATTTAAAAAGTTTGACGTGGACTTAGGAGGCCTGTAAACATTTAGAAACATAGTTCGTACCGGGCTCTTTACCTGCAGAGCCAAATGTTCAAAAGAGTCAAATTTTCCCAAAAACACCTTTTTACACTTCAGTGAGTCATTAAACAATGTTGCCACTCCTCCACCTTTCCTTTGCTGTCTGCTCTCGCAAAGAAAATTGTAGTTTGGAGGAGACGACTCCAACAGAATATGTGCTTCATTAAGTCCATGTAACCACGTTTCTGTTAAAAACATAACATCAACATTATTGTCAATAATAAAGTCATTAATTAAAAGGGATTTTCCTGACAGAGATCTAATGTTTAATAAAGCCAGTTTATATGAATTAGTGGTTGATGTTGTCTCTGTAGCAGGCTGCATCTGACAGTTTATGACTCTTAAGTGTCTGTTCCTGTTTGTTCCCATTTTGTTTTTTTTATTTCTGCCACGTATCATCACAGATATTCCATAAGCTCCAGTGTAAGGCCCAAGCTGATGCTGGAAACTGTTATGTCTGATAAGCTTGTTGCCGGGACCCGGTGTGTATCACGGAGAAGTTATCTGAAGGTCCTGACGTTCCGTGATATGTAGAGGAGGATCTGGGGCTCTGCTGCTTTTAGAAGATGCTGGTTTTTTCACATAGCTGTGGCTTTCGGAATGGCTATGTGGAGAGGATGTCAACTGTAGGCCAATCTTGAAAACTTTGTTCATGTTATGAGAAAATTCCAGAAAAGGAACATCTGGGCTTTGTGGGGGAGAGGGGGAATTGGGTGCAGTCTGGACTGGTGTCTGTGGGGATGGAGGTTTTTGGTAATTTAAAGGGGAGTCCTCTTTTTGTCCTGCTGAGATCTGGGATGAATCCTCCTGTAGTTCTGATGTAGGCTCTTTCTGTGTCATCTTTTTGGCCATCTTTATCTTGGCTTGTTCGGGCTTTACTGGGCTTATCGTTTGTTTAGGCACTGGTTGTACTTTGTTTTGGAACAAAGCTAATGGTGCATGGTTCACAGAATAGAAAATGTTTGATATCAGCCGTTTCGCTCCTGACCTATTTAAAGAGAAACCATCTCTGTTGAACAAATGTCTCCTCTCCCAAAAGATGTTAAAATTGTCTATGAACGTTACAGTTGTTTGTACAGTTGTTGCATCCAGCCATTTGTTTAACATCAGAACTCTGGAAAACATTTCATCTCCACAATTAATGGGCACGTGAGGGCCGCTGAGAAACACCTTGACATTAAGACCATCAACTAAATTCAGCAGACGAATGTAATCCTCTTTCAGTATTTCTGATTTTCTCAGGGCTGTGTCGCCCAAGGCTTCAGCTTGTATGATGAGTTTTTCCAAGGTCGGGCATTTTTTCATGATCTCTGGAAGGATGTCTGATACATTAGACACCAGGCCATAGTTCAAAGGGTTATAAATCAACACCTCTGTGTTTTTCTTGTTACAGAAATGTTTAATCCCACGTATAGATCCACTGCATAATATCAGGGTCCTTGGCCCTGTGGCTTGTTTTTTCTCTGGTAGCTTAGAGTGAAGATTGTTGACATACCTTTGATTGTCTTTGTGATCCTTCTGGGTCTCATCTTGAAGTGGAGCAAATCTGTTTTGTAACGGAATTCCAATATTTCCAGCAGGTTTACTCCTATCATTTGTTGTGAGAACATCCCGTTTTTGTTTCACTTTTCTTGGGATATCTCTCTGTGGTCTCGGCCAGTTTTCTGTGTCTAGGTGGGTTCGTTGATCCTTTGGTCTAGCACCCAGAGTGGTCCAGGGATTCTCCTTTTCCTCTGGGAACTGTTTGTTTGCTGAGTTGCTGGGCTGGTGGTCCCCGTTCGGAATCACAGGCAGCGTTGTTTCATTACCATACGCGGCGTTTACATCATAGTTTACTTCAAGTTGGTGGATTTTCAGCTCCATGACAGCTATTTTCTGTAGAAGCTTGTCAAAGTCGTCTGTGCTGAAGGTAGGCATCCTTTGAATCGGGTGGTTCTTCTCCATATCCACTTCGGGGAAGAAAAAAATGAATAAATAAATAAAAATAAAAATATTTAAAAAGAAATAAAAGAAAATAGATCAAATAACTAAATCCAACTTTCTGTAGTTTTGGTTAAGAGATAAAAAGAAGATAAAAGGACCAGAAAGTGTAAGCAAGCAGGGAGCAGAGAAAAGAGCGTGTGCACACACTGAAGGACAAAAGCAGAGTCTCATAGCAGGGGTCCTCCTCCTCCAGTCTGAAACTCAAGAGAAAGGTGTTGCAAAAGTCTGTTTTGCAGCAGTTTGGCTCTGAAAGGTCACCATGATGACTTATCCTTTATGATTCTGGAGATCTGGGTTTTTTTGGGCCGGGATCTCCATTTTTGCTGGAGACCCTGCCGACGTGGACCCCAGCTTCATGGGCAAGAGAGAGAAAAGAGAGAGCATTCTGTCTTTTCTGTGGTTTATTTTGTCCTCACACAGAGGGGGCTGGGAAGTCACATCTCTGTGGGTTGCCATATGACTTGCCTGTGACTAGTTTGGCTAAAAAAGGGGGGCCGTAGGGTTCTTATGGCTGCTTGTTAACCAAACATTTATTCTCTTCTCTGGTCGTCATCAGAGCATGATCATGGCAGATGGCACAACACTCCAAAGGAGCTAATCATCTTACTTAAAGGGCCTTTAAAAGTATTAACATGAAAAAAAACATTTGAATAGTTTGCCAATGTTGAGATCATTTCATGTTGACGTACTAATAAAAGCATCTCCACCAGGTCCGTACTCTGACAGTTATAGGGTGTTTAAACACCTGCTCTTTCCTTGTCTTTATTTACCCTCCAGCCACGCTGAATGTCACTCCAGACCGATCCCAGTTCTTCCAGTATGACCGCATCAGTCTGACCTGTGTGGCAAACTTTAGCGGCTGGACTGTAAAGAGGACTGTGTCCAGTTATACTGCTCAGAAATGTCAACATGGCTGGGCAATTCCCAGTGATAACTCCTGCACCATTGAGGACGCCTACCCAGCAGACTCTGGAGAGTACTGGTGTGAATCTGACCATGGAGAATGCAGCAACAAAGTCAACATCAGCGTAACTGGTAACACCGAATTGTCATGATGCTTCTTGTATTTTTCATGGATTTCTACTACTAAATAAAGCAAAAAATATCCATAATGTTAATGGGTTTAATGTACATTTTAGCCAGTGGCGTCATCCTGGAGAGTCCATGGCATCCGGTTGAGGAGGGACGGAATGTAACACTTCGTTGTATCTACAAAGAGGAGTACAATGACAAATCCACATCACATTTCTCAGCTCATTTCTACAAAAATGGTGTTTTCATTGGGACGGAAAACCCAGGGGAGATCACTTTTAAAGCAGAGGAAGGTTTCTACAAGTGTCGCCATCCTTCTAAAGGAGAGTCTCCAGAGAGCTGGTTGGCAGTGATAGGTGATGATCTGCTCATACATTTGATCCAGGCCTCAGTTAAAAGTAAATCAGAACTTTAACAACCTTATGATTTAAACATATTCAACTTTCAAGCTTCCCAACCTTCACAGACTGGATACAGCTCAAGCTATCAATACTGCCAGAACACCTGACTGTAGAGACTGCATTCTTTGGAGCTCCTCTAGGGGTACAAGATCAGTCCTTTGGTGGCAGGCAATATTGGCCAAACTTTTATTTTGCCTGCCCCCTATTCTGGGGATCTCCTCCTGGGTCTGTTGGTCTTTTCCCCCTAGGGCGATTGGCCCTTAGACCCAGAAGAATAGTGTATGTATGAGGAGTCTCAGAATAGATTTAGTTTCTGCCCCGTTGAGTACTTATATATGTCCATATGGGTATAAGGCTGGGATTTTGTAAATGTGAGTAGACGGACATGAAGATCTCTTTGTCTACTTGTCAGGTTGGGTGTTTTCCCGCCCCTTCCCACCTACTGAACAACCTAGGCCCCAAGTATAAGCAGGACTTGCCTCCTTTCCCTTCTTATTCCCTCGCCAGTGACAGGTCATCACTATAGGTTTTCCCTTCCACACACTTCTCTTCAAGCTTATTTTTTTATGTTCAATTTGGTTGACTGTTGTCTTCTTTTTGCTCTTATGCTCTGCTTTCTGTTCCTCTCATCTCATAGAGGTGTGGAAGGAGACTTTTAGGAGTACCTGTATTCTGTGTTTTCTCTCTTTTCATGCACTCTTTCTTATCTCTATATCTCTCTCCCCTTAAGGTGGGCATACACTGTAGATTTTGCCCTTTTTGGGCCAATTCAACAGTCGTACAAGAACTGTTTTGGATCGGGTTGAGTTTTAGCCTCATTGTCCATCATGTAGTATACAGCGGATAAGGAGGGGCGATTAGCCTCTCTTGACGACCTCCCGATTAGGAATATTAGTCAGTTAATGTGGTTTTATAACTGTCAGGGTTCGGTTGAGGTTTTGAGGACACAAATGCAGAGGCAGGTAGGCAGAGGTGCATTCTTATAGTTTTATTGGAGTGTTTAATGGAGTGCCAGGGAAAGATGAATAACCATGACCATTAATAACAATAACATAACAAATTAAAATACACGAAAACATGTCAGAATGCTAATTATTAACTACCAGAATTGTTCTTGATCCTTTTCTTTACCTCTCTTGAAACCTGTAATAAAATAATCAATAACAGTTTAAAAAAATTAAAATAATTAGCCAGGTTTTAATATTCATAGCTCAAAATGTGATTTCTGCTTTTCTTTAGCTAAGAAACAGCCGACAGAGGTCCCTCCTATTCCCCCTCCTGGCGTGAGTTTTCCCAGAGTGATATGTGGCACCATCCTCTTCATTTTCTACAACTTCATTCTCATATTGTGTATATATACATACAGGAAATGGGCTAAAGGTAAGATCACCTGAAGGATCTTTATAATGGTCACAGTATGAGAAATTCCAACTTCCTAAAATATTAGGATATTTGAAATCAACGCACCAAGGAAATTGAAAAATTAGTCTGAATTAGGTTTCTGGCAAGTTAAAGGTCACTTATTAGCAAGTCACCAAAATGGTTCCTAGACAAAACTTAACCTTAAACCATAGTCATAATATCTCAATTTTTATACATTTTCAGCTTTTTTAATCCAGTGTGCACATTGAAAATTAAGTGATAACATTTTAAAAGACAAAATTTTGTTTCATTTAACTTAAAAAGTGTATTTTGATGATTGTTACTGTCTTTCTGCTGCAGCTAATGTTGATGTTAACAAGGCAAAGGCGGATCTAGTAGGAAAAATGAGACGACGATCCAGAGGCAATGGAGAAAGTTACAGTATGTGAATCAAGATGGCGTGTTAAACTGACAAGTATTCTGTTTATTCCACTATATCCTCAATCTGCAGTTATTTCTTTGAAATTGATTTTCTTCTGTTGTTATGCAGGATATAAATTCTCTCTTGTCTCTATAACTTGTTTCCCAGTGTTACATATGTATTTAAATGGCTGCATTAAATTGTGCAATTCTCTTTCTGATATTTTAAGTTAGAATTACTTAATTGGTGCTAACCAGATGTCTTTGTTGTGGCATTTAGCAAATTTTAACCAATTAAAGCTAAGCTTAAACCTGGAATACCCCAATGCTCAATTGTTGGACAACATTCGTTCAACATCTATATGATGGTACTAGTTCAGGTAGGTAGTTAGGCATCTCGTTAATTATCAACATTAACTAGATTCATCTATCTACTGTACTTCTGTGCTGCTACAGTACCTCACCATAGTACTCAACTGTTACTGAGTTAGTTTGTTTACATTATGCATGAGTGTTTGAGTATGAATTTCATTGAACTAAAAACAGCAAATATTTCTGGTCTAAAAAACACAATTAGAGAAATCAGCACTCAGCCACACTCCTTGAAGCTGATGACCAGAGAATAGGCAGATAATTTGTTATAATGGACTCAAATCTGAACTACATACTCACTTTGAAAAGATGGCAGGTAAAATCATCTTGATCAAAGCAGGGCAGAGCAAAAATAGTAATAGATAATAATAAATCCACTCTTACTGTACGTAAGTTAATGTACACTGCTCAAAAAACAGTTAAGGGACCACAAAAACAACACATTCTAAATCTAAATTAATGAAATATTCTTATTGAATAATTTGCTTTGTACAAAGTTGAATGTGCTGCCAACAAAATCCCTCACAAAAATCCTCAATGGAAATAAAATTGAATAACCCCTGGAGGCCTGGATTTGGAGTCACACACAAAATCAAAGTGGAAAAACAGACTGATCCAACTTTTATTGAAAACAGGTCAAAATTAATCTCAGTATTGTATGTGGCTTCCACGTGTCTGAATGACCTCCTTAAAAGAGCTGTGCATGCCCCTAATGAGGTGATGGATGGTTTCCTAAATGATCTTCACCCAAACCTGGACTAAAGCATCCACCAACTCCTGGACCTTCTGTGATGCAATGTGACAATGTTGGATTGATCGAGACATGATGTTCCTGATGTGCTTAATCATATTCAGCTCTGGGGAAAAGGTGGGCCAGTCCATAGCTTCAATGCCTTCATCTTGCAGGAACTGCTGACACGCTCCAACCATGAGATCTAGCATTGTCCTGCATTAGGAGGAATCCAGGGCCTTCTGCACCAGCGTATGGTCTCCCAAGGGGTCTGAGGATCTCATCTCGGTACCTATTGGCAGTCCTGCTACTTCTGGCGCTCACATGTAGGGCTGTGCTACCATCCAAAGAAATGCCAACCCACACCATTACTAACCCACTGCCAAAATGGTCATGCTGAAAAATATTGCGGGCAGCAGGTAACTCTCCATGGTTTCTCCAGACTCTGTTACATGTGCTCAGTGTTTACCCACTTTCATCTGTGAGGAGCACAGCGCGCTAGTGGGGAATTTGCCGATCCTGGTGTTCTCTGGTAAATGCCAAGCATCCTGCACTGTGTATGACTGTGAGAACAACTCCCAACTCACAAATCTCATCAACCAAAACTGTTTCTCTGTCCCCATTTGCATCCAGGTTCATTTCTTTGTTTTGCTTTTTTATTTTTTCCATTACATTAATAAAAAATGTATTTTTCACTTTGTAAATGTTACGTTTATTTTCATTACTCAACACAAGTCTAAAATTTTGATTGAGTAACGTTTAGATAAATAACAGCAATAATGTTGTTTACAGAATCCAAACCATATATCCAGGGGCAAAGCCATCATTTCAAAAGTTAGGTGGGCACATTTAAGAGTGATTCATTAGTCCCTCTTGCAATGAGTTTTACCTTTCCTGTAAAATATATGTGAAAACCTTTTACGTAATACCTGCCTGCTTTCTCCCTGCAATAGAGATTCCCAGGATATTACTGTATAATCTCTCCTTACCTTTAGAGAAGCAACATCTTTCTACATATTGATGGCCTTCTCCCTGACTCTGCTCTTCCTGTTATGGCAATAAACATTTAAAAAATTGAAAGCAACAATTTGAAATAGCATTATTAAGAGATTATTAAGAGTAAAAATTGCAGTGGAATTTAACCTGAAACTATGTTATTTTTTTATTTTCTCAGCTACTTTGACCTTTCTTCTTTATTAGACCCTGCATGGTGGACTGTGCTGCTGGACTCTGGTCAGTCTCCTCCTTAATTCTTTCCATGATGGCAATAAACTTAAAAAAAAAAATTAGGAGAGAAAAATTTTGAAATAGAATTGGAAAGAGGAGGAGTAAAAAGTGCTGTGGTGGTTAACTTTAAAATAACTTATGCCGTTGCATAATTGTGGCAGATTCCAACATGTCAGCTTGAATTTTAAATCTCTTTATTTGGCGTTTGTATGGCTGTAAAACAAAATGGTTTGGTGCAAAAACTATTTTTAAAGTTATTTTAGAAATTTGTGTGAAACTCTGTTTCAGCCATATCTATAAATAGATCAACATATGCATACGTCAGCCAGGCCTTGTCAAGCTAAATTCCTGGGATTTTCATAAATCAGAGAAACAACAAGCTGCAACAGTTGCTGAGGACTTCTGGGTGTAGCATTGCTTTAGGAAAAAAAAAATCCATTATAGGAAATACAGTATCTGCAGTTATATATAATAAATGAATGAATGTATGCATTAATGAATTGATGAATACATGAATGAAGACAATGGATAGACAAAAACACATGTGATTAAGATTAATTTAATTAATAATTCAGGGATAATGTTATTATCACAGATAGCAGAAATAAAGGAATAGCTGAGTTATTTGGCAGCATATTTTACAGCTTAAGCCTTAAAGATGATTTATGTTGAGCTATGTCTCTGGGCTGGCGCCAGGTGACTCATCATCATGATTGGTTGGGAAATTCTCAAGATGGTTCTCATTTGCTTCCACTTGTTCTGCACGTCCACCTGTTCAACAAAACATTTTCATTATATCATGTTTCTATAATGGACCTCTACTTAAAAACTAATGGTTATAAAGGATTATTGTAAAAAAGAAAAAAATGTGCAAGCTCTCTTATCACTTTTATCCAATAGTGTCTGTAGTAACTACAGGATGTGTTTCTGGAGCCAGGTAAATAAAGCATTATTAGTAGAACATCTCTCCCAAAAAATTACTTTTGTCAGAAATGTTTTATTTGTACTTTGATGCTGCCTCTCAGCCTATGAACAGAGGGGGTGGTGCATTGGTCAGCATCAGGAACAATTATATCTATTTTTGTAGTTATTTCTAACTTTTTATTTGGAAATTTTTCATTTTTATAATCTCACTTAAAACAAATCTTGTTTTCTTTGTACTAATGTAGCCTTCTTAAAAAGGAAAAAAGGTTGACTGTTTAAAATGTGCATTTGTACTTTTTTTTCTTTTTCTTACTATGAATATCATTTAATATCCATAAGGTTTCGAAGTGTAAACTTTAGGAGATATATATATATATATATATATATATATATATAGAGATATATATATATATATACACACACAATAAATCATATAGAATATATTTAATATAGAAGTTCAATCACTGCCATTAACTCAGAAATAAAATAAAGCATAGGAGGGATGAGAAATACCAAGACTTATTGAGAATGTAGCACAATCAGATGCACAGAAGGATCAATAAAATCTTACAAAGATCTCTGTTCTTTATTGTAAGGAGCAGGGCTAAGAATCCTGGAGATTAAGTGATCATTATTGCTTTGTCTAGCATTATATTAGAGGGTAAGTTTTTAATTCTGGATATTTTTCTTGTGAACAGTGAGGTTGCATTACTATTTCATCAAATTAATTTATAGGGAACATCTGCAAAATGTCCCACTACTGTCAAATTCAGAAGTTGGTGGTAAGGAATTCTTAAAAGTGGAAAAATCTGATCAAGAAGAGCTGTAACTTTATTGGTTTTTCAGTATGTGGGTGACATTATAAATAATATATAAATTATAAAAACCCTTTAACTTTAGTAAAAAGAACAAAAAGAAAACATTTACTATTTTTTATTGGATTTCAGAACATTTTAGAAGATTAGAACCTGTTTTTAATTTATGTAAAGAAATTTGAAACATTTAACACTTTTTTTTTAAGTGCAATTGGTTCCCATGGTTTAGAAAGTAAAGAAGAACCGATGAAGCAAATATAACCAAGAAATGCTGTGGCAGCCCAATTTCAATAACATGGGCTAACAGTGGGCACAGTTTGCACGGTTGCCTTGCAGCAAAAAGGTCCTCGTTTTGATCCCCAGCCTAAGGTTTTTCTGCATGGAGTTTGTATATTCTCTCTGTCAATGTGTGGGTTCTTTCCGGGTACTCCGGCTTTCTCCCAAAGTCCCAAGAACATGAGTAAGCTTAATTGGTGTCTCAAATTGTCCTTGGTTGTGATTGCGTTTGTGAATGTGTTGTCCTGCGATGGACTGGCGACCTGTCCAGGGTGTACCCCGCCTCTCGCCCATTGACTGTTGGAGATAGGCACAGCACCCCTTGCGACCCCACTTGGGATTAAGCGTGTTTGAAGATGGATGGATGGATGGATATATGGATGAATGGATGGATGTGATTGTGTTAGTGAATGTGTTGCTGTGCAATGGACTGGCGCTCTGTCCAGGGTGTGTCCTGTCTTTCGCCCATAGACTGATAGAGATAGGCACCAGCCCGATTAAGCGGCAAAAGATTGATGGAGGGACTAAACTGTAAATTTCCTATGCAATAATTTAGCATATTTAAATTTTAATTTTGAGAAGTCTTAACTACGATAAAGGTATTTCCACTGTATGCTATAAAGTAAATACTATTTGATTATTCAGTTGGTTAAACTAATGTAGGCCTACTGTATAGGTATTCTCTACAAATAAAGCTCTGGTTAGCATAGCCTTAAATACCTAGGTCACTGTACTTATTTCAGTAAATGCAAAAGAAAAAAAAATTATGATGTTTTTTTACAATTTTTTTCTTTTTTTTTTTTTTTTTTTTTTTACAGATTTTACATTGAAACAGGCAACTGATAAATGAAATAATGTACATTTTGTTACTTACACTTCTTTTTAGCTCCTACACAAAAAATGATTACCGGTAAGCCAATGCAGACAAGTTGTAAGACCAATAGTAAGACACCCAAAGCAATACACACTTCATGTGAACAGCAATGGGACAATTCTGTAAAAAAGAAGAGATATATTGTATCAGGGGTTTTTTTCATGTCAACTTTTCAAAGGAACTCTAGACTGATCGTTGTTTATTTATCTAGTTACCTTTGCAAGCACTTAGGAAATTAATATGCTGCAGTTTTAATCATCTTTTTTGATTTAACTGAGAAATGAAACAAATATCCAAAAAACAGATAAACAAAAAAATATATAAACAGGTGGTGGCTGTATGTTTTCCTGATCTCAATAATGGCTAAAAACACCAACATGTTAATATCTATGTTTCCTGAAGGCTCATTACATCTGATTTTCAAAGTAATTAGCCATTTAAGATGAATTCCCCTATGTCTGCTAGCTACTTGCTCCATTGATCCATGACTCAATGTCGGTAAAGAAGTTAGGTGGTCATAACCATTCCCTCAACAACAGTTGCAGAAGGTTAAGAGTCAATTATCTTAATGGTTATTGATTTCTTGGTAACACTTTAAAATAAGGTACACAAATTTTAATTACCTACTAGAGAGCACCTAGAGCACTAATTAGGAACTAATGGGTAGCTAACCAGTACTTACTGGGGAACAGCCAGCCTCATTATGGAATGACTGCTTACCTACCTGGGAACCCCAGAGTAACTAATCATGATTAATGGATAGTTACCAGGGAAACCAAAGAGGAACTAATAAGAAAATAAGGCTCTGTCTGAATGTGTGCTATAACTCCTGTATAGAGCACTATATAGGGGTTAGGCCATTTAATATGAGGGTCTGAATGTCTAGTGGATGAAAAGTCGTGGACTCAAAATTTTCCCCAATGCACTTAGAAAAGTAGTGTGAATGGACAATTACTACACAGGCTGATATTTACTAAAATATCAGCCTCTCCTCACAAAGCATTATGGGAGAACAAAGATGGTGCCGGCATAGTCTGGGGATTTAGAGTCATGTGACAAACAGGGGGAAAAAAAGTAGTGATCATCTGTCCGAACGATCAGTTAAAGGAGAATTCCGGTTTTTAACACTTTTAGCCCATTTTCTGTAGTGTCCAGGATGAAATCGAATGATCGACACCAAAATTTTGACAATTGGTCCTGTCTCTGCTTTTTGGCTCATGCAGAATCCCCCCCTGGCTGCTTCAGAATGGCTTCCATTGTGCATGTCCGATAATGTCCTTAAAACAACCTTAAACGTTCTTTTTTTAAAATATGCTACTCACCGGGTCGTCAGCGCTGTTCAATGACGTTCCAAAAAAAGTTTCGTGAAGAAAAACCGTTCCTGTCTTGTTTTATTTAGCATTTTGTAAATCCCAGAACTATTTTTTCCGATACATCACAACCGCTTATAAACTTCCGCTTCCCGTTCGAATCTGAAGCGTTGCACACTCCAGACCACTAGTTGGCGACGGTATCCTCTACCGTCAAACTCAAAGTCCAATATGTCCTCCTCAAGAATCCACCTTTTGTATTCCATTTTCAGAGTTTTTTAAAGTGTTTAACAGAGACGTTAGCACCTCGACGTCGGAGTACACAGAGTGAAGCATAAACACTTGGGCCTTGCGAAAAGACTACAACTAAGCGTAAACAGGCCCCATTTCCGTTTCCGGTGGCGGAGGGATATTGACTATTCCAACAGAACTCAATGGGATTTACAAAATGCTAAATAAAACACTACAGGAACGTTTTTTCTTTACGAAACTTTTTTTGGAACGTCATTGAACAGCGCTGACGACCCGGTGAGTAGCATATTTAAAAAAAAGAACGTTTAAGGTTGTTTTAAGGACATTATCGGACATGCACAATGGAAGCCATTCTGAAGCAGCCAGGGGGGGATTCTGCATGAGCCAAAAAGCAGAGACAGGACCAATCGTCAAAATTTTGGTGTCGATCATTCGATTTCATCCTGGACACTACAGAAAATGGGCTAAAAGTGTTAAAAACCGGAATTCTCCTTTAACTAAGTTAACTATAAAGTCCACTATATGGTCCCTGCTCTACATAGTGATTGAGGTCTTAGGGTGGATATTCGGACAGAGGCTAAAGAGCAGTTACCCAGTATTTATTAGAAGACAACTGGTTTGTTACCCCAAAATTAGAGTAGAAATTTTCTGTGTTGGTTTTGAATAAACCCTACGCCTGAGAAGCCCCAGCTTAATAAATAATATTTTACTTAATAATTACTTAATACCAAATTATTGCCTAGTAATTATTTTATGGACATTGAGTCCATTTCTGATGGTCTTGTGTACCCTAAAGTAAAGTGAATCATTATATCAAGTGCTCACTCTGGAAATAATTATTTAATCACAACCTGACCATTAACTAATATTTTTGTATACCTTTAGGTTTAGCAAAACTTCTCATTAGTTCCTGATTAGTTTCTTTGTGTTTCCAGGTAACTAAGCAGAAGTCCCATATTAAGGCTGGGCTGGGTGTTCCATAGCAATTAATGGTTAACTACTCATTTTGTCCATTTTAGTTCTTTAGATGTTCTCTAGTAGTTAATCAAATTTAGTCTACTTTATTGTAAAGTGTTACCGATTTCGGATTAAACCGAATCATTTGATGAAAAATTATTTAATCAAATATGTTTTCTCCTTGGTTTGCAAATTAAATTTGTAAATAAAAAATGAAAAAAAAAGATAATAATAATAAACATTTTGCCCCTCTAAAAGTTTATAAAGTGACATTATGAGAGGATAAAACATGAGACAACTTTCTCTTCAAATCTATATTCACACATTTCACAATTCAAAAAACAAAACAACAAAGAAATGAATAAAAAAACTTTTTTGATTTGTGATGCAGTTCAATGTTTAGTATTCTTGAGTTTGATTTTCAAAGTCTGATTTATTGCAAAGTAAGTTCAGAAGAGGATTAATGAATTCAAATACGGTTATGTTAGAAATCAAAAACTTTGTATGGATTTTAAGGCTTTAGTCGATGTACAGCAAGAATTGCACTTTTGGATCAGGAGACTGTTTCCTTGAACAAGCTTATCGGATCAAGGTTTAGTCAAACTGATGTTAATCATAACACTTCAAATATCCTAATACTTAAAAAAAAAAGAAAAACTAAAGTAGGCAATGAATCATAATTTCTGCTTAATTTAATGCCAATACGAAGAACTTAAAGTGTTTAGTCCCATTTGTATAAAGTTTGCCGAAAAGTCAGGTTCATTTTTTCTGCTTCCATATAAACTTAATTTTTATTTACTTAACTTTTTTCTAAGTTAAGCCATTTCTTCAGTAGACATAGAGAAGGTAGTACTCACCATTATCCTTATCCTTGTTATGTGGAACTTTTTATGTGGAAGAAAAAAAACATATAAATGTAATAAAAGCATTCAGCTCTTATATCAGGATAATAAATGAGATATTTTCCTACCTGGACAAAAACACATGTCTTCTGAAACTGGAAATGTGGAATAATTGTGACAAGATGAAACAAATGCAGAGTATTTCTATCACATTCAAATAAGTGTTAGAAAATCAACAAGGCTTACCAACTTTCAGGGTAACCATCCCCATCTGTCCTTTAACAGCCATCTTTGGAATGATACAGGTGTAATTTCCTGCATCTTCTTTAGTTACATTAATCAGCTTGAGAGACATGTTACCATGGATTAATTCCTCATGGAAAAGAGATGTCCTGTTTTTGTATCTCTCATCTTGCGATCCTGGATCATCTTTTTTACTTCTGTAAACATGCACATTAGAGTTGTTGAAACTCCATTCCACTGTTTGATCGGTCAGGCTGATGGGGGGCTCCACATGACATGGCAGAATAACATGATCTCCGACCTCTGCTGAGACTGGTTCCTCTGAGCCTATAATTTCTGTCTCGTCTGCAACACCTATCAGAGTTACACCAACAAAATCAATGCATTTGTGTAATGGGGAAATCTATCACATGACTTTATTTTCTAACCTTTTCATCTCTATTTATAATTTTTTAGTTTTTATGTATGTAACCTGAAATGTATTTAAGTTTCTTCCTTCTATTTTCCCCAACATTCTCCCTTCTGGCCATTTTATTGTGAAGTTAGTCAAATATATATTAAAAACTTTTAGCATTTTAAGGATTTTGACCAATTTTTAACCGGGGTACAATACTGAAAGTTAAATAGTATTACAATAAACTACAATGAATTTCCTGAGCAAATGTTTTCTCAAAATCAGCAACATGATATCATAACCAAATACGTCTTTAAATACAGACAGTCATTGGGAATAAATAAGTTGCTCTTGAACAAAATAGACACATTAATTTTATAAAGCTATTAAAAATCAGCAACTTACCAACAGTGACGATAAATGAGCAACTTCTTTTTACATGTTTAGTGATAAAGTAACACTTGTATTCTCCGTTGTCATGGAAGTACACCTGAGAGAGTTTCAGGGATAGATTTCCTGTTGTCAGTCCTTCATTAAAAAGGTAGATCTGTTCTTCATCTTCTACAAACGTATGTGCTCCACTTTTATAATGGAGTAGAATTTTGTTTCTGAATTTCCACAGAATGGTTTTGGTTGAAGCGTCCACAGGTGGATCGAGGTAACATGGCAGAACGACATTGTCACCTGCTGTCACATCAATGTGGTTGGTGGGGCACACTAGGTAGGGTTCTGTGAAAAAAAAGAAATACTTATCATAGAGAAAAACTTGAATTCTTTCAACAGTTCAGATTTTTTTTTTTTTTTAACCACGCATCAAAATCAGTTTATTTAATTTGTTGCATAGAGGCAAAACAAACCAGTTTGGACTTTACTAATAAACACAGTGCAGTTCTTTTGTTGGTGCTAAATACTGTTGCTGCATTGAGGCATTTTCCATCCATAAGACTTCCCAGTTTGCTTACTGTTTCCTACAGGCTTACAGCTAGCCAATCACTTTAGGCATCATTTTCCTAAATTTAGACTTTAAAAACAGACTTTCTGAATTTGAACTATATATGTTTTTAATGGCCCTGCGATGGACTGGCGACTTGTCCAGGGTGTATCCTGCCTCTCCCCCAGTAGACAGCTGGAGACACCAGCTGGAGGCACTAGCACCCCTCACAACCCCACTTGGGATAAGCATGATGGAAAAAGGAATAGATGGATTATTTTTATGCAGGGTTCCTGGAATAAATGGAAGTTTGGAGTTGTTTGGATTGTTTTTTTAGCTGCTTTATTCGCCTGTCTCCCAAACCTGTTTATGTATATTACATCTATCCTCAGTTTGCTTCAGCACTAACACAACTTTTACTCTCTGTTTGTCATTAAATCAATAAATTCTGTTAAATCCAGAATCTAATTTAAAATACTTTCCTTTTTGATAAAGCTTATAGTTAGAGTTGCTTAGGTTATCCTGAGCTATCTGTATAGTTATGCTGTTATAGGGTTTGACTGCTGGAGGACCACTTTTCATCATTCTACTTGATTATATCTCACTTTTCCCATCCTGCAGTATTTATTTGTTCAACCTCTAACTTTAAACCTTAAGCTCCCTATTCTTCAGCTTGCAATACAGAAGAAGGAAGGCACGACCATGATGGACGATAATGCGAAGAGCAGTCTTTCTTGTTGATCTTCTTGAAAAGATTGCATTACCATCCATGCTTACTTCCGTAAACACAGAGCATGTTCGCGACTTATGCCGTCATTGCGTCCTGTACTGTGCATGTGGCACACTTTACCTTTATGAATGCATTTCACACGAGAGATCACAAGTTGCATATATTTGGAAATGTGAATGGCCATGCAAATTGCCTGCAGTGTCAGTGTAACCTAAATGCTACCTTATAGTTAAAGAGTAGCAGTTTTGCTTTAATCTTCATCTAATTGTTAAACATGCAAGGTATTTAATCTGATTTTGTCTGTTTCATTTTTAAATGTTGAAAAAGATACCCATAAAAAAAAAAAAAAAAACTTACCAACGTTGAGATTAATGTAACACATTTTATTCTGGGATTCAGTTTGGAGGGAGCACTGGTATGTTCCATTATCATTCAAGTTTACTGAAGACAGAGCAAGAGACAGATTTCCTTCAGTCAGTCCTTCGGTGAAAAGAGATGTTCGCCCTCTATACCTCTCATATTGCTCTGTGGGATGATTTTTTCCTCCTCGATAAAGGTGTACAACATTTTTCCCTTGCTTCCACTTTACTGTTTCTGCTGAGGCATCCATCGGTGGCTCCAGGTGACATGGCAAAATGACATCTTGACTCTTTACTGCCCCTACTGGCTCAGAGGGGCACACTAAATCTGGATCTGTTCAACAAAAAATAGACTTTTGTTTATATCTACCAGAAACACCAGCTAGAAGTGACCCCAAACTTTTTCAATAGTCTTCCCTTTGGCCATTTTATGGAATTATGTTTTTCTCAGCTGCAACTTACACACCTGTTTTTCTCTACTTACTTATTCTTGCTTTTAATGTAAATTTAAACTTTTTTTCAGTTATTTTTAAAAGAAGACCTATACATTTGTCATCTTAGAATGAAACATTTTTAATCATCATTGTCTTAATTCTCTTTAAGGGTTTGATCAGTGGGTTTATGTGTACATATTCATGTTGGACCAAACACCATGTCAGCAAGTAAACAAGACTTAAGATCATGTTGTTTAAGAGGAGAGCAAAGTTTGCTGCCATTATGGAAGGTAAGGAAAAGTGTTAGAGAATCAGTGGAAAAAGACAAAAGGAAATCCTTATTTTGGTGTCGCTGTAAATGCCCTGTTTCCTTTTGTACAAGTACGACTGCCATTGACATAAAGTTACCAACCACACGGAGACAACAAATATTTACCATCCGAAGGCTCCTCATACTTACCTTGGTATTAATCAGCTAAAACTGTGGTGTGATGTTAAATAAAAAAATTAATATGTCTTATACAAGTTATATGCTATAATTAATTATGTATTTAATAAAAAAAATTATAATGGGTGACCAACATTATAGTGTGTAAACTGGCTTGACATGAATTTACCTATTCATTTCCCCACCTGTTTTTCTAAGAGGGAAAAAAATAGATCATCTAAGTTAAATCATATTTATTGAATAATTATTTACAGTTTGCTGGGTTTTATTTTTAAGAAAAACAGAAGTAAATGTTTATTTTTGTCCCTTCAGCATATTAGCTGTGGTTTTGTCATGTGCGTCTCCCTGAAATGTGTCAGCTCTAAAGATCTTTTTTCATAAAGCTACATAATATTAGGCATTTAAATCATTTAGGCATATAGTGAGGCTTTTGAACCAAAAGGATAAACTAATTCTTTTTAATACAGTATCTTTGATAAAAGCATTGGGGGGTGAAGAAATAATATTATCCTGACCATGTTTAGGGAAGGAGGCAACATGTGACTGACTAAAAAATGAAATGAAATTTCTTTTTCTTTACACTTATGTGTACAAAAGTCTAAGACTGCTTTGGAAATTGTTGTCTGGATTAGTTTATATCTGGGCAGTGGTATTAATACATTTCTAGATTATTAAAAAAAGTCAGCTGATTTATATTATTCACTTAACATTTAAAACATACAGATGTGAACACAATCACTTAGGATTACACTAATTCACAGTGAATCACAGTAAAAGCATGAAAAAAGGTAAGGCAAAATTAACTGATAAAGAAGATAAGGGACTTACCTTTGACGTTCAGTGCTAAATCAGTGCAAAAAAACAGCAAAATTACAGGAATCAACTCCATAGTGAATAACTTGTCATAGTTAGGGACTACACTATATTATTAACTTTCCTTTGATGGAGGCACTTTCACATTCACTCTCCATCGTCCCTCTATGGGCAGTTTTATATAGGGAGGAGAGGGGAGTGGTTAGTGGCATAGCAGGGCACCGACACAAAGAGGGTGGATCCATATATTTTTTGTAAATTTTATATATTTTCTGACTACTTGGTTGTGGAGAACTAAAAATCTAGCTTCATTGGATATACATTAAAAAATAAAGAACATAATATATAATAAGTGTTTTTCGTAATCCTACAGAGGGTCTTAATTTAAACAATGTTTCTTATTTTTTTTTATTAGAAATAGGGCCTTACTATAAATGTACTTTAAAGAAAACCTTTTAATCCTCAGGTTTATTTAACTTACCCTCCTGTCCTTGTGTAGATTACAACATCATTATTTGTAGTGTTAGCAGTTTGTAATAGGTTAAATCAGAACTTTAATCAGATCAAAATAATGTTTTCAGGCTGGTTTTTCACTTCCACATCTCAGTGGTCGAAGGTTTTCATAGATTCCCACAGTAGGAAAGTGAAGGGAAATTTTGTCGCCCATTTTTTGTTTTATTTTTACATTTACATCACATTCCCAGGACAAAGTTTGTGGTAAGTTCACGTGAAGATGGTTCTAGTTCCAGAGGTACAAACATTTGCAGAAACAGGTGCTAAAACTGAGTGATTTAAACTATTCATTGGGTCACCATTGTTAAAGTCATAGGGGAGCAGCTGTTCCAACCGTTACTGAATTCTCGCGAGTGGTGCACTACTTTACACGAGTGAATAAAGTGAATGTGATTAGTTGTTTTATCAAGAAGGTGGGATTGTTTTGGCGGAAGGTTCGCAAGCCAGTTTAGTTGTGGCCGGTTTGTCGGACGCATCTTGTTAACCAACTTAGTCCTAGTAGGTTCCCAATGGGAAATTCCATTGGGACCAAGTAGCTCTAAATTGGTGACTTAGAAACGACACTTGCATGTGTCCACTGTCCATAGCGTTCCTTGACAGAGGAGGAGAGTTTTGTGTCAGAGGTCGTGGATGAGTCTCCTCCATCATACATTTTTTATTTAGAGGAGAAAAGCGGGGATGAAGATGTTGTGGAAGAGGACGCCAGGGCGGCAGAAGCTTGGTTTGGTGTAGAAGGCTTCCAGCCGTACATGTTTGAGTCCTTGCCTCGCAACGCTGCCAGTTCTGTTAGCTGTACGCCTGCTGAAGACACAGACGTCCATCCCTGTGAACACTGGGATGGAAATAATTTAAAAAAAAATAAACATTTTCTAACTTTTCGGACAACATAGTCTGATACAGGGTACATTTATGTATATGTTTAAGCCAGAATGATTTCACATTTAAATAGGTCTTCTCTACGACTTTAAGGATCATCTATGCATAACTTTTCCCCTTAAAACAGTTTGATTACCTTAACTATTTGTGCTTATAGGCACCAACAAACGCTTTGCTCCACTTCTTTGTATCAAAACTCGTAAGGATTGCCCCAATCAGTTAATAAAGGGTTAGTTTGTGTTGGTATAAAGACGTCATTTATTCAGAAATAATAGAATATTATTTTTCAATTTATATGTCAAATAGGACTGCATTACATAAATTCAAAGAGAGCGTTTATTTAAGAAAATCCCTTTACATAAAGTTAGGGAATAAACATCAGATCCTCTATTGTCTATGATTTCATTGTATCTGAAAGACAGCAGTAGTTTGAAAGTTTGCTTCATAGAAAATTAGGTTAATTACTGAATTATCATATAAAACAAACAAAAGTGAATAGACTAAATGCCTCAAGAGCCTAAAATACCCATTTTCTAAGCACCTAACTGAAAATGAAATTTAACAATTTAAATTTTTCTAAAATTAAAAGCATTTAAATTATAAATTAACAGCGGCCAATAATAATCATTTTATAGATTTTATAATTTTTTGTTCATGCATTTGGCCTCTCTTTGCTGAGGTGGTTTACGTCTTTGTCCTCAATCTAGGAGACCCAGGTTCTAACCCAGGGTACTTCATTTACCATTAAAAACTTACTTAATCAGCCAATATGATTCTTCACTTTATCTTACAACATTGTTTTTATCACAGAATTAACTCTAGCAGTTAATCAGCTCCTTAATTTAAAAAGAGAGAGAGGAAAGGTTTGAAAGCAAAAAGATTGGTTTAGATATTGTAATTTACATAATACATGTATTTTTTGACAAGCTTGAGCATAACTTACTCCTACCTGAAGGTTGGGAATTTCTGTTTAAAAATAGAAATGTCTTCATAGCTCCAGAGGGCAGTGAAATGGGCACCTTTATTTTTTGGACCCAGCAGTTTCCACAGGTTTCAGACATCATCCCCAGAAAAGCTGTAATGATCCTGAATGTAATTTTCATGAAAAATCAAATATGGGCATTTCCCTAATACCTTAAACATAGCAATAGTCTAGTATTAGTCTTTTGAATTTTCCTTTCAAAATTAGAGCAAAAGCCAGCTTTAAAGACACAATGCACTATGACAATGTCCACACGTAATATTATAAAGCTAGATACTAACTTGATGTTGAAATTATGAAAACATTGAACTATATAATATATATTAATGGTTTCTAATGTAGGCTGATAAAAAAATAATACAAGCAGATTGGGTAACAGAATCACTGACAAAACTCTTTGTTTCTGTAACCGCTGACTGTCATCATTCATCTTTTCGTCCGCTTTTCCATTAGGGTGACGGATGAGCAGACGTGGTACTGGTACCCATCTTACTGAGGCACATAAAATCAGCAGGATGTGAAACTGGAAACTGTTAACGTGAACGTCTGTGGTTTGTGGTTTCTCTAGAGGCAGAAAAATATCAGCAAGATAAATGAGAAAATTCCAACCAAAAAGAGAAGTGGTGTGTGCGAGGGGAACAGTTGGCTTCAGACTTTGATGCACAAAGCCAGCGGTTTGCTGACATATATTAAATATTGGTGTATGGGCATAGCGTTAAATCCACTGTTGTTTTCGTCAACGATTCCGAAATTATTTCGTTGATGCTTCTTTTTTTTTTGACGACAATATCAAGAACTGACGACCTTTGATGATGAAAACATGACGACTCATTGGTGTGAGTTTTCGTTGACAGGACGACAAGGGGAAAAAAAGACGTTAGCACGTGATCTGTCAGATATTTAAAATGCATCATTGTGATGTAATCTGCTAAGCAGAATCAGCTGTGCTGCTGCGTATCGTTTGGTCATGCTGCCCACCTGCCGTGCAGCAGTGCACATTCTGCATTACCAAAGATGGAGCTTGGCAGCAGCAGCGGGGTGAAAGTAGGCTGAAATGGTCCGGTACTGTGCTCTACTCTAAAAAATTCTGTTATTCCAGCATTACTTGCAGAAAAGCAAGTACAGCTGCGCCTAGCTCCAAGGTTGCACATTACGCACCATACTGATGGTTCACTCTCATCAGTATGGCTCTTCCTGGTCTCGATACAGAGAGCAGGAAGCAACAAAGTCTTTAACAAGAGTCAAGACCAGAAGATCAGAGATCCGAAGAGGTACTGGGTTAAAATCCAAGTCGATGTCAGGAGACAGATCCAGGTTTGCAGGTAGAAACAAGCAGGAGTCCGAAGACAGGTCAGACAAACAAATCCGAAACAGGAACAGGTAGGCTTAAAGGTCAGAGGGCAGAACTGGTCAGGATCAGGCATTCAGAACGAAAAGAAGTATAATAGAGAACTCTCACAGAAGGCTTGAATAATCTGGCACTGACGACTGGGAGAAAACAGCTTAAATAGTGGCAGGAGTGCGTGGAAAAGATGAACAGTGATGAGAAACTGGGCAAAGCTATGCAGGTGAATGGAATGAACCATTAAGCCAGTCATCAGTGCCAACATCATGATAAAAATAAAAAGGGTCCAAAATCTAACACCCCAATGCCATAACATTTAGTGACACTGATTGGCAGTACATCTCTTTATTTGCCCTATAACTGTAGATGAATGGATATCAGTTGGTAGGATATGTAGTTTGAATGTATTTCGATTACATAGAGGGAAACTTAAGCAAGTAAATCTGCAATTTTTATTCCTTTATATATTTCTCAATTTGTAAAAACATAATTTGTTTGTCAATAAAATACTAAATGCTACTTTAAACTGTTCCAATAAACTGAAACGTAAACCCTGAACAGAAGACAAAAAAGGAACCTTTTTATAGTTTCAATGCTCAAGTACAACAAGCTCTGCTGAACAAACTTTAATTTAACAAAACATCTCCTAAAATTGTATTTTTTACTCCTTTATATTTTAGAAAGTTTACTTGTTACCAAAAGTAAATTAGTCAGATCTTAGTTTACCTTAAGATTAAATGCTGAAGCTTCTTAGTGCCGATCAAACCTTTAGCTCGAAGCATTTCTCTTTTGTAATCAACAGGAAATCACCTGTGTGACACCTGGGTTATATCTAAGGTAATTATATTTTTTATGACAAATTAAATAAACAGGAGATAATGTTTTACAAGTTATTTTGGGGGAAAAGCAATAAGAAACAGTTGATTAACTGGAGAAAGGAAGTACAGAAGCATTCTAATGAGTAAACAAATGTTTAGTTGAGTATTGTTTTACATCAGCCTTATAGTCTGTCAGACACCACAAGGTATGACACTGTCTGCTTTATTTGTTGTTCCTCATGAGGTCAACCATGAATGGGTGACTTCTCTTAAATTATTCTTAAAACACACTGAATAACTGAAGGAGACGCAAAGAGGAACTGGAGCATGTTTGGAATCTACAGCAACTTTCTGAGGACTTTACTGTGTTTGCAAGATAAGTGGAACCAGATGATGCATGAACCACTTTCACAGCATCACCACTGGAGAGGATATTTCTAATATTCTGCAGATGAAAGAAGGAAATTCTAGAAACCTCTTTGATATGGGATTTAAATGAGAGGTCCTGATCAAAAATAACACCAAGATTTTTTACTTTATTATCTGAGATCAATTTAATCCCATCCAAATGAAGTGACTGACTAATCAGCTTAGACTCCGGTCCAAAGACT